CTCTCCGTGTGTGTGTGTTCTCTTCTGTTTCACGCTTCTATTTTCTGGCCCTTCACCATTTCTTATATTCTCGGGGATCCGTAACTTCGATTGGGATGGAATTTTAACACAATTTTTATCCGGAAATTATCTTTCTTGCGGCAAAAGAAGGGCTCCAACCGACTTATGGAGGAGTCACAAGCTCACAGGGCGCGCCCTGGGGGATGGGGCGCACCCCTAGAGCTTGTGATTGCCTCGAGCATTGTATCCAATGATTCTTTTTTCCCAAAAATCACATATATTCCACACAAAAATCTTCATAAAATTTTATCGCGTTTAGAATACGTTTGATATGGATTTTCTACGACACCAAAAACATGCAACAAAAAGGAACTGACACTGGCCACTGGATCAATATATTAGTCTAAGAAAATCTTATAAATTGTTGCCAAAAGTATGTGAAAGTTGTAGAATATTGGCATGAAACAATCAAAAATTATAGATACGACGGAGACGTATCATTGCTCAAGAAATGTGGTAGCCCTTTGCGCGGATGTCAAGGTACCGAAAGCGTAGGGTGGTGTAGACATGGTTGAGGTAGCCATGCGAGGGACACCGTGGTCAATGTGGAGTCAGAGTGGCCGGTATTAAGGTAGTTGCCGTGGAATGGGAAGAAGAGCGGCGGTGGCAGCGGCTTGAGGAGGCGGCGACGGCTAAGTTAGGAGCGCGACGGCGATACTCGAAGTAGGCGAAAAAGAACCAGACAACGTGACAAAGACCGGCACGGACGGTGACGTTCCCGCGCCTAGGAATACGGCACGCCGCATACCACACAGAAGTCTATGCACGTGAACGGCGAAGTGGACTGTGTGTTGCGGGCCCGTGGCGCTACAACCCGGACGGGCGACGCAGCGGCAGCGCGCGGTTCGGGGCGACAGTGCGGAAAACCTCAGGGCGGCGGCAGGGGCCGCGTGCCATGCTAACTATGGCCCGATGGGGTGACGCAACAGCAACGCGATGGTCGGTGCAGCCACGGGGTCACCCTGGAATGGACGGCCTTGGGGTGGCGATGGACCGCGGACTACGGCACGATGGCCCGAAGGGGCGACGTAGTGGCAGCGCGCGGGTCGGTGCAACTGCGGGAATGGCCTCGGGACGGCATCGTGGACCGCGTGCCGAGGCGCTACGTCCTGAAAGGGTGACACTGCGGCGACGCGGGTTGGTGCAGCCGCAGGAAGAAACACGGGGTGACGCAGTGGCGGCCCGTTGCTCGATCGGTGGAGGGTGCGTTGTACTCGGGTACAGGGCGGGGGCGAGCGGCGCAAAGCGGCGGGCGGCGCAAAGCGACGGGCGGGCAAATGCGCGGATGAGGGTCATGACGGGCCGCTGCATCACGCGAGGCCGTCGGGCCGGAGAAGAGGTTGGATGGTTGCGTCGGTGTTGGCGTAGAGGCGCGTGGTGTGACGGAGACAGCGGGCGATGCAAACCGATCTTAGATGAAAAAATCAAAAAGAAACGCTGATCAATGTGACAGACGAGGGAGAGAAAACCCCAGATCAAAGGATCAGAAAAAAAAGACTCTCTAGGGCAGCCGGTCAACAGGACCGACGAACAATCCTAGGTATGGGCGCCGCGGCCCCCGGTGGTGACCATGGAGATCGACAGCCCCGAGGGTGGTGCGGTGCGGAAGCAACGGCGGCAAGTGGGGTTTGGATTAGGGTTAGGCTGATACCATGTAAGAGGGACTGGATAGGAAGATTGGTAGAATTGTTGATGTATTGATTGAGCCTCATGGTATATAATTGTTGATGTATTGCTTGAGCCTCGTATATATAAGAATACATGATCTTAAAGTACAAAACAAATTAGAATAATTCCTAATCTATACTATGTTTTCTAATAATCATGATTCTCAACAGTCAGCACAGCTACCAAAGAATCTTAAGCTCGATGTACACGTATTTATGGAATCGACCGATCACCCAATTTTTTCAGTAATAATAGCTAGTCCCTCCGTATCAAAATATAAAATATTTTTATAAGTCAGTTTAGCCTAAAAAACGTCTTATATTTTGACACGGAGGTAATAATTATGTACACCTAGGGTCTACCTAGCTCAATATACATGGTCGAGTAGCTCACCATTCTTTGTACTATAAAAAACAACATAGCGTTTGGAAATAAGCTCAATGGCATTTGACCAAATACTTGTCGGGCATGGTGTCCGCCATGGAGGTCGTCGATAGGAGGCAGAGTGTACCTGGGTACAAACGGCATCAGGGTGGACAACACCGTCATACACGCGAGCGGGCGCATCAATGCTGGTTGCGGACGTCCAATAATGTTTCTATGACAACCGGAAAGGTGCAGCGGCGGCGGCGAAGCTGGAGGGTACGGATTTGAAGTAAGGGACGAAGTGAAAGAAAATGAGACCGGGATGAGGGATTGGGTGGGCCGATATAGCCCCATTGAATGGCTTTTGTGGTTCGGACTGTATGATCCAGAAGTATGTAGACGGTTCGAGGGTGGACGTTCAAGATGCGCTAAGAGTATGTAGACGGTTCGAGGGTGGATGTTGAAGATGCGTTAAGAAACCTGTCCTTCACGAGAGCGAGAAGCCTAACAAGCGCCTGTGAGGGGACGACGACTCGATCAACCTTGCCCTCCCATCTAGTGTTGGGGCTCCCCTCACGGGGCTCACGTAGGGATTTGACCTCCCCCTGCTCGCTCGCTGGCTCCTGCCAAGCCACAGTTGTCAGCACAGCTGCAGAAGAATCTTAAGCTCTACGTACACACGTACTTCTCGAATCGACCGATCACCCAATCTTTTAGAAATACAGTAGCTAGCTAGCTACTCTACTCGATACATCTAGCTAGCCACAGTGGAGTACGTGCGTATATATTCACCAGACATCTGCACAACCGCCATGTGAGCTTCTGTACGTGGTGGCAAACATAGATTAGCCTTTTCGAAGCCATCCATCGTACCACCATCGGTTGATATCCGAGATCAGGCAATTACCTTGAGCTCCACATAGTTCATGAAACTCTCTACTTTATTTGTTCGAGGCATTTTCTTGTGTTGTTGTCGTGCAGATAAGGAGTTCGCCGCATACGAAATTCCAAGTGGCCTTCGTGTGACGTTCCTTTTGAGGCCAACACATGGCACGCGTACGCTCTCGACCCAGCATGCAAGCCAGAGCAGTGAGTCGTCTGTACCTGCACGTACGAAAAGAAGCAGGAGAGAGACAAGGCCTTGAACTAGAAGCTGCAACCTCCCTCCATGGAAGCAAAGCAAAGCTTCCCCCACGGCACGCCTGCCACTGCCACTCACGGCCGGGGGCACGCTCTCGGCTTCACTGCCCACCGTCCAAATAACTAATAGCTAAAACAACGCTAGCTAGCTGAATTGATGAACGCCGGTGTATAAATACTACTCTCTGTATCCGCCGGGCTCGCCACCGCGCCAAGAGCAAAGGAGGAGGGAGGGGAGCGGCTGGCGGCGCTAGCTAGACCACCGATGGCGCTGCGCGACGTGCTGCTGTCGGTGGCGCAGACGCCGCACCGGCTGCGGCGGAGGGCGCTGGTGACGTGGACGCCGGCGCAGGAGCTCAACGAGGTGCGCGACCGGTCGGGCGCGCGCATGGCGCGCCGCCTCGAGTGGTACGACCTCGTGGGGCTCGGCGTCGGCGGGATGCTCGGGGCCGGCGTCTTCGTCACCACCGGCAGGGTGGCGCGCGACACGGCCGGCCCCGCCGTGTTCGCCTCCTACGTCGTCGCCGGCGTCTCCGCGCTGCTCTCCTCCTTCTGCTACGCCGAGTTCGCCGTGCGCGTGCCCGTCGCCGGCGGCGCCTTCAGCTACCTCAGGGTCACCTTCGGTACGTACGTTACGAGTTAGGACGTCCTGATCGGCTCCTCTTGAAAACCACCATGTGATCCGCAACATAATTAACAACTGGCTGCTCAAACGGCCGGCCAAGAGCATTCTAAATTTCTAATGCCATTGTCCAAAATACAGCGTAAATCTGCAGTTCGATTTATCGTTTTGGTTGTCCGGCTCCGGCCTGGTTGAGACACTACTATTGCTAGGTGAGTTCGTGGGGTTCTTCGGGGGCGCCAACATCCTGATGGAGTACGTGCTGTCGAACGCGGCGGTGGCGAGGAGCTTCACGGACTACCTGGCGTCGACGTGCGGCGTCACGGAGCCCAACGCGTGGAGGGTGGAGGTGGAGGCCATCGCCAAGGGCTACAACGCGCTCGACTTCCCCGCCGTCGCGCTCATCCTCCTCCTCACCGTATGCCTCTGCTACAGGTACGCATCTCATCGGCACCTACCTACACCTACGTATGCATACGCCTTTTACAAGCGTGTCGCCATTGGTCTTGCTGAAGGGCAGCACCAAGGAGAGCTCGACGCTCAACATGGTGCTCACGGCGTTCCACCTGCTCTTCTTCGCCTTCATCATCGTGGCCGGCTTCTGGAACGGCAGCGCGCGCAACATGGTGACGCCCGGCGGGCTGGCGCCCTACGGCGTCCGGGGCGTCCTCGACGGCGCGGCCGTCGTCTACTTCAGCTACATCGGCTACGACTCCGCGTCCACCATGGCCGAGGAGATCAGGGACCCGGCCCGCGCGCTGCCCGTCGGCATCGCCGGCTCGGTGCTCATCGTCTCCGCGCTCTACTGCCTCATGTCCGTCGCGCTCTGCGTCATGCTGCCCTACACCCAGATCACCGAGAGCGCGCCCTTCTCGTCGGCGTTCAGGGACAAGGCTGGGTGGAGGTGGGCGAGCAACGTCGTCGGGGCCGGCGCCAGCATCGGCATCGTGGCGTCGCTGCTGGTGGCCATGCTGGGGCAGGCCAGGTACCTGTGCGTCATCGCCAGAGCGAGGCTGGTGCCGGCGTGGCTGGCCAAGGTCCACCCTTCCACCGGCACCCCTATGAACGCCACCATCTTTCTAGGTACCTCATCACAATGTTGCCAATTCATTACTCCCACTAACTTGTGTATGTATCCCAGACTTAGGCTCTGTCCATACATATTCAGGACTCTGCACGGCATCAATCGCGCTCTTCACTGAGCTGCAGATAGTGTTCGAGATGATATCGATCGGAACCCTGCTGGCCTTCTACCTGGTGGCCAACGCGCTCATCTACCACCGGTACGCCAAGGTCGGCGCGACACGGCCGCTCCACGTCCTCCTCTTCCTGCTGCTCCTGACGCTGAGCTCGATCGGCTTCTCCCTCGCAAGGAGGATCGACGGGAAGTGGCGGTTGGGGATGGCATTGTTCGGCGCGATGTCGGTGGCGGTCGTTGCAATCTTCCACTGCACAGCACAACAGGGCGCAGCCGGGCCACCGTCGGAGTGGACGGTTCCTCTGATGCCATGGCCGGCCGCCGCGTCCGTCTTCCTGAATGTGTTCCTCATGACAACCCTGAAGGTGAGGTCCTTCCAGAGGTTCGGCATCTGGAGCCTTGTGATCACCATCTTCTACGTGTGCTACGGGGTGCACTCCACATACACTGCGGAGGAAAACGAGATCGTCAATGCAATGATTCATGACGCCAATGCAGACATATTATCTTAGCGGTGTCATCGTAATAATAAGAACAACATGGACATAAGCTTACCTGTCTCCTTGGAAATGTTCGTTGCCCTAAAAAAGGTGCGGGGCAAAAGAGAGGTCGCTTTAGCTTTAGGTTAATCCCTTCTTTTCCTGCTTTTGTTGCTCACTGGCCAAAACTGTTGGCCTGTAACTTGCTTTTTCTCTAGGCATATATGCAGGGTAGTGCAGGGCATGTGGTTGCTTGATCAAAGATCTGTCATTCCTCTATTTAAACATAAGAATTGGTTAAACTTCAACGTAACACATGTGAAGAAAATAAAGTATGCTTCAGAAAATTGAGAAAATGGAAACCTGTTAAAATATGCAAATAGCAGATGCACTCTCAAACACGGAGTACATCCAATTTTCAATACATTTGAAACAGATAATGTCAACCATGCTACTGGGTTTTTATTAGTAAAACTGAGTCTTCTTCTGAGGCATAACAGTGCCTCAAATCACCACATACTCTCCAAACAAACAGAGGAAATCCACCAAGAAAATCACACTACAATCTAGAACCAACTAAACAGGAAGTTGGACCTGGCTCACCTGGCTGGGAAAATAGATGCACAAGTTCAAATCCTCATTTCTTCAAGGGTGCCTATTTCTTCTCTATTAAAAAGAGCATGCAGTTTCTTCTACATGGTCCTTCATTTTTTCTATATGATTAGCTAATTTTCTATAATGCTCCATCCAAACATTTATGTGTTCCTTTAATGATTCATATACAAAATTTTCACTGATAAATTGTAAGAGGAGAACAGATTTACTACACCTACGTGCTGGCTCGAGTGGTTTTCCTAAGGATTGCATGAGATTTTATCCAAAGTAACAATGGAAACAGTTAAGATTCTACCTCAAGTTTTACTCCAGTAGAATAACACTTCGCTTAGATCAAATGTTACCTTGCCAGTTGCCACCTGTTCAAGAAATGATGTCACCATTCGGACACATTTTCCACATCAATCAAGGGGGAAATGTTCACTGCAAAAGAGTTAAATAGCTAATATTTACATTATAAAGAAAACACCCGAGTGATTTCAAAAGGTCAGTTTAATGTTTCCTTGAAAAACATTAGCATATTCGGGGAATATTTAACAAAAGGCGGTCCTCACAAGTCGCAAGATTCGAAAGAAATAGCTTTAGAAAAGATATTCATCAATATAAACAATGCTTATTATACACAATCTTACCAAGAATTCAAGGACCACACATGATGGAGCACGGAAGTAAAGCCAGGCATCATGGAGCAATTTCCTGCTTACAAAATCAGCACACCACATCAAGTCAATGTGCAAACCTGAATATGCTAATTAAGTGGTTGCTCAGTGTTGAACAATCCATGGCAGATAGATCATGGATGGATGCAAGCATGCTCAGGACCACTCACTTTAATGGTGGTCCTAAATTCTACTTAAGTGGCACTTGCCTTCATCTGCGGCAAATTAATCGACACCAAAAGGAAGTACTAGATTGCATCTATGCAACCCTTTCTTGTATAAACATATAACTTTCAAGTAGCCATGTAGAGTACTCATTGGATAGGAAGATTTTAAGCAGCAAAAAGCTCAATGTAGCAGATCATGGAATACCACCATTTGCAGCAGCAACTAAACTTTCAGCTCACCTGTGAGTACAAAACAAAAAAATAATTCTAGTAAGTTAAATAATCCATTCAAACATGCCTACAAAATTTTCAGTCATGTGTCGCATAAAGTTTGACCAACAAGACGCACAAATCAGATGTAATCACAGCATTATTATTGTCATGAATGATATATATTTATAAAATACATGTGACTGATGAAACGTGAGTTTGTTAGTCAAAAAATAACAGTTATGCACAATATCCAACATCGAAACAGCACAAGTTTTTGGATAAAATTTTGAATAAAGTTACAGACAACACTAGAACATCATACAAGGCAAATATATGCATGCAATGATAGCAATCGTGCATGATATATGCCATTACCAGCTACAATTATTCGCTGCCAAACCTCGCATCCACTTGTAACTCAGCTAGCATTCCTCTTTCTGTTTGTATCGCTCATTTTATGGTATATGACAAATTCACATGGATGAATTGAGGAACATACAAGTGATAGGCACTAATATATAGGGACAATGGTAAGAACAAAAACCCATTGTTTGTTAGTGATGAACGAATTGTACACAAACACAAAAACGAGGAAGATAATCAGGAAGGAAAAGAAATGAAAAGACAAAACATAACAGCAAGATGAACGATCCAAAGAATCTTCCTTTATTCTAAAGGCGGTCAACAAAGGAAGGCCCCAAGGTTGCAGTAACAGCCTATGTGCACCACGGGGAATCTCAATGAAGCATCTGTGTATAAGCAAGTGTAAAGAACTCCAAGGGGAGCAGGAGAACATATTCACCTTTTACGCCATGTCGTAAGACGACCATCAGTTTCAGGGTAGAACAGAACCTGGTGTAGAAGAGCCTCATTGACTGCTGAATCTATCTACTTACAATGTGAGATATTTCACAAGGGAGAGTAGGGTTACAAATTAGTGCCTCGAATCAATTTGGAATGGAACTCTGCATATGTTTACTGGGTGAGTAATTGTAAGAGATAAGAAAACTAGAAAACACACTGACCCCGTCTCAGCTATTATCCTTTTCCCGAGCATCTTTGTTTGTCAGTGCCTTCTTTAGAGTTGCGTGCAAGGAAATAGTTTGTTTAAGTAACATTTTGAGTGGTTCTAATTACATGCTTGACTTCTATTATTAAATGAATGTGGAATCCATTTCTTTTTGTAGGGTAATAGCAACTACTAAGTGTACTGCTTTGAGAATTTGATACTAGGTAGGTGGACGGAATAATACAGTCTGTCCAAATAGACAGTTTCTTCTTTACTTTTTATTGGCAAAAAAAGGGGCGTCAGAAAGACTCTGAAAGAGAATCACGGCACAGAGACAAGAACTAGCTAGGGTAGCAGGTTCAGAAGAAAGAAAAGAAAGACACACAAAAAAGAACTAATAAGGACTTCCTTTCAGGCTTATTTGCTTGATCTGTAAAAAAAAGTAGTAACATATTGGAGATTTCAGAACTTATGGGTTGGGCACTATTTATCATCCCAACTACCTAAGTGTAGATACAGGGTGCTGCCATATAATAATTCATTGGTTCCATATACTGCTATAAACGATAAACCCAAGAAAAGTTAATGTAGATTTTGAAACATCACTATTCCCTTATATCCGTATCTGCGACCACCCAGATAGAAATAAGGCTCCAGGATACTCGATTTTTCAATGGCCCAAGCCCAACTAACTATGCTGCAAATTGAAAACCACACAGCAACAAACCATGGATAACCCTGATTAGAGTTACTAAAAGTGAGGCCATAAGATGGAGCAAGCACAGGCACAATAAAGTGTAGGTTCACTAAATCAGCCAGGCTGTGACGTAAAGCCCCAAAAGTGGGAAAAGGGTTCAGGATAAACCTCCTCCATGGACAGGCATGAAGAACCTCATTGGGTCTCGAAATTAAATCAAGCTGGGACCATCGTTTTTAAGACGTCCCGACCACTTTGGCGGCAAGGCGCCGAGGCAGGCCTTAGAATTTTGCCCGCCTTAGGCGTCAAGGAGGTCAGTGCTCGTCTTACGAAACCTTACCGCCATAAGAACATTTGCTGGGACAAACATAGCTGATAGAATTCCATGTTTTACAGTTTATATCTTATACCACCTCCGTCCCATAATATAAGATCGTTTTGCAAGTTTAAATTATGGGACAGAGGGAGTATATTATATCTTCCTCCCAGCATAAATCCAAACAAATTTGAACGCAATATGCAAGTACAAGGTGAAGAAAACTCAAGATCCATTTATTTCCCATAAGAAGTGCTTCCACTCGGCCAGACAACTATACAGAAGACAGTAAAAGCAGCAGGATTTGCTCTCTACGCATCTACATCTATGTGATGAGACAACCATGATCCATCAGACCATCACAGGTACATGGAGTATATGAAGGACGTAGCTCTAAACACCTCAACTCGCCAGGGGGTGTGTAACCAGGAGAAAGCACGAAAGATCTTGAAAGGAGGGGACACCTTTGCCGCGCCACCGCTTCATTCCAACGCGTCGACGATGCGGCCAACGAGGCCGTCCAGGAGCCGGCGCTGCGCGTCGAGGTGCCGCAGGGCCATCTCCATGCGCATCCGCTGCGACTCCCTCGCCGCCTCCATCCTCCTCAGCTCGGCGCGCACGAATCCCTCTCCGATCGCCCTCACCGCCTGCACCACGTCGCTCTCCCCGGCATAATACCCTTCTTCATCGGGATCGGGCCGCCTCCTCTTCTTGGGCGGGGAGGGAGAGGGGGGAAGCGGGGAGGCGGGCGGCGGCGGGGACGGGGAGTGGGAGCGCGAGGGGGACGACGAAGGGTCGTCGAGCAGATCTATGCCGTCGAGGATGGGGCAAGGGCGGCGGCGCTTGGAGCGGAGGCGGCGGCGGAGCTTCTCGACCTTGTGGCGGCACTGCCTGGCGGTCTTGGACGGGGTGGCGGCCGCGGCGACGGCGGCCCAGTCGGCGGAGCTGAGGTGGGCGCGGCCGACGGCGAGGCGGCGCGCGGTGTAGGCGCGCGCGAGCGCGA